GATGAGAAAGGCCTGGAGAGCAGGTTCCAACTGGCGTGTCTTACTGTAATTTTGTTGCACGCAGGTCTTTAGTGTCTGTGTGGCATGAACTGCATTGCATTTTGGTACCATGCTCTTGGAGGGATTTGGGCTCTGTTGTCCGTCGTGGCTTTGAGAAAGCCATGCTGGCTTATTCCCCAGTGTTCAACCTGCAGCATGTGCAGGCTCCAAAGGCCTGAGCCATACAGACAGAATGAACTATATTTTTCGAAGTCATGCCTGTATAGCTTTGAGGTCCTGATAGCACTGGCCGGGACCTTGTCGCTTGTAGCGATGCATACAGCTCCCATGTATGCCCTTCAAAACCCAAAGTGTGGATCCCATGCAGGTGTTGATGCTCGGTTGGATGGATATACCGAGCACTCCCTTCGATTTCATGGAGGTCTTTAGCGGAAAGCAAGCATTGACCCGGACCATGTCCCATCCCCAGGGTCATGCACAAGCCATGCATGTTGCTGGTAGCGCCGAGATGAATGTCGCCCGATGTTCCTAGGCATGATGCTGGGTACAGATGCGCATCATATGACAGGGACCTGCATCCGAGCGCTATGGAGTTCAACTCTTCTCCAGGATTCTTGTTGCTTGACTATGGGGTTCATTGTAGGGGTTCTCAATGTATATAATATCCGTAGTGCACACCGCTATCGTCGAAACCCGGCAAAAAATCCGTCCCAGGCTGATCTTGTGGACTGTGATGCAAATGGATTGCAATGCACTGGGGCATTTGGCCCCTGACTGCTCGAGCTGGGGGATTCCATCGCGAGGTACTAGTTGGCGGAACTTTGTAAATGTGGCTGGAAATCTTTTTCTACCATGGATAAGGGGAGCCAACATGATGATTTCAAGGTTTCTTGCCATACACCTCTAGGCATTCATATGCGGCATGTTATTGAACATCAAGCCTCTCTGTACTTATCATTTATACATCATATGCAACCGAGGCTGGTTCTGGTACTGCTTTACATGATGAGCAAGAATTTGGTGTGGGTACTGGAGCAACCACGTAATTCTTTGCTTGTCCGCCATCGGCGGTTCGAGTGGTTTGTGAACCACGTGGCAACTGCAGCTAGGCAGGACTAGAACTACTCCCTCTCCGTATACGCCGTCCCGCGAGGTTATGCCTGCATCTGTGGAATTTGCCCTTCACCATCCTTCACCTGTTGCGGGTTGGTTTGGGAATCAAACCGTGGAAAGGGGTGGGTCATGGTGAGTCCATGCATCATCAAGGAAATCATGAACTAATCAGCTGTTGATAACATGCAGTGTGTTTACAGCTGTTGTACCATGTGATTTACATAGCGTTCTAGGCCACTCAAATTGCAAACACGGCGAACTTAGGTTTATCACTGCTGCTTCTGAATGATGCTTCATGGTTCAGGGACACCAAAACCTACGGTCTGCTATTCCAACATGAAGGAAGTTCAACGACTTCACCTTGGAGCCCTCCGTAAAGAGGAGAGGGAACGTAGGACCACTGGACTCACCACCCGATGCTAGACTTAATTGTATATATGCATGCCAGCATTTGGTGCGAGCTAGCAAAATCATTGAAATCACCGCCCAGGAAAATATACCAACAAAGCTGGAGTCCGTAAGTTTCAGGGAACACGTGGTCTCAAAGCATCACAGTTACTTGGCTTGTATACCAAGATCCCATACTTGTTTGGCAGCAGTACACGGACCCGGGGCATGGGAATTGAACAGTACTTCTCAGGACATACACTGTAGGCTTTGCCCGGAGCCTTCAGAAGCTCTATGAAGAGCATCTGCATGAATCTTCTGATCGCCGCGACCTGCGGTACAAAAGCAGATTGGGGGACTTCTCGATGACCGGGCTCAGTTTGAGCAATTGCCCATGGGAGACCAGTGGGAGGATGCAAACTTATTGGATCCACTGCTTTACTTGTTCCAGTCCAAGAAAGTGAGGCTGGTCCCTGGTTGTTAGGAAACCACCACTGTGTTGTCTTCGGGATTGTTAAAGGCTATAGCTACTGCAGTGGGTTCACAACACCGGTCCCTGTAGGTATCCTAGCGTGCAATGGGAGAGCACCTTGAGAAGCTTTGTCCTAGAGTACCAGTCTGAGGCCAGTATGTCAATCCAGGCAGGTATTATTTATAGAACGTTCTGCAGAATTTGGCAGGTTCTTGGAGATCGCCGACTTCGAGCGCAACTTGCAGACTTATCTATATAGATCAGAGCCTGGATCGTGCGGGATTGCCCGCACACTTTTTGCATTGATGACAGAAATTCAAATTCGTTGGGGTTGAGTAGAAATCGGGATGCGCATACCGAGCGCATATTCGCGCATATTCACGCAAACACCCGCATACCTGAAAAGTGTGATTTTGGGTTGAGCAGATTTTGGATTCTCACTTGATGCCACGCACAGATTTTGCAGTTGTAGTCTTGTGTATCCTTTCTGCTTAGCATTCTTGGCTTTGATTTGGAAAATATGGAAAGACTGCACTCTTCCAACACGCTTGTTGCCGGAACCATGGCTGTAAAGTTTGGAGATGGATCCAACGCTTCACGGAAGCGGGAATTGGAAGAGCTGATTCTAGCAAATCGGTGTGCATGTTATATGGCAAGCTTTGCACTTCTTACACTTTACATTATGCATAAAACAACATATATATATATATATTATATGTATAGTTATTTCATGCTAGCTGGCTGAGGCAAAGAAGCAGCGTGTTGAGGCCTTGCGCCGCAAGCTTTCAAACCAACCATCAGAACTTGCACCACAAACGACAGTTCCAGGCTGGTAAGAGTATGCAGTCACAGTTGTAGACACGCATGCGCGTGCGCATACTATCGCATACTACAACAATTCTAAAACCGCTTAGGAGCACCTCATACCGCTCAACGTGGTGGTGAGTTCTGTGCTGGCTTGGCTGAAGAGAGCACACTGTTGGATTCTCAACCGACAGCGCTATATGAAACGCCGGGGACCGATCAGGTGAGCTCAGGACCTGTGGTGGTCGATGACAGCTCAGGTAAGTTGGCAGGAGAGTCCATGGGCCATGATTCTCAACTGCCTGAAGGCTATGGAGATTCCCATCCACGGGAGAACTCCCTGGCCCTTCCGCCTGTGCCCCCTTCTCCTTCGCCCACTGTTTTGTCCACGCCACAACCCAAGCCGACGCCCACACCTGAAGCCACGTTCCCTGCACCCACACCTGAGCCCCTACCTGAGCCCACACGTGAAGAGGAGATTCCATGTCCAGGGACACCAACCCCTTCAGTGATTCCAGAGACTGGCCGGAGACCTCAGTCACCAGGGTACTTCAAGCTCCTAGGCTTATGCGTGTATGTAGATAAGACTGCATGCATGTGTGTTTGTTTCAACAAGCCCATGCCAACTCTGTTGGGTGACATGCTCTAGCTCGAACGATATAGATTCGTGCACGGCTTCATTGTTTCGTGCCTAGGCTTCGTCGATACTTCAAACCCAAGCGAGGGACATTCCAGTGCTCAAAGAAAGCGTTGGCGATGTGGAGAACGGACGAGACAGCATTTTACCCAAAGTCTAGCCAAGTGAAATAGCAATTAATGAATTTGCCAAGGTCAGGAGCTGCGCAAAATGTTCCGAGAACATGGATCCTTTGGTCAGCTGGAGGTGCAGGTTTCGAAGAAATCCTTGAAAGCCGACCGTATGAAGGTTGATGGAGGTTGGTACACCAGAGCTTACCTTGAGAACGTCGCCGGGTGGACCCAGAGACTTATCGTTAATATTTTGAGTAGATTGTAAGAGATTTCCATCATATACTGTATATCTATGTATATATCATTGACCTGCCCAGGAAAATGGTGGATCGTGCGTTTGAGTGGGGCAGGAAAAATGGCGCTGTGAGGGTCAATGAAGTACATGGGGAGGAGGAAGTCCGCCTTGTCCTCACGGAGACCTTCCAACTTGAGAACACTGATCTGGAAGAAGTTGACCGTACTGGGTCTTTCGAGGTGGAGGAGGGGGTTATATATGCACATGTGTGCACATACACACCATGCCACATACATAGCTGTCCTTTCCGCCGGTGCCCTGCAGCCTCATCCGTCACCAGGATCAGTAGGGCTCGCTTTTGGTGAGTGACCTGCCAGAGATTGGTCAAGAGACTGGAGGTGCTTCTGGGTCAGGTAATCCTGAAGATGCAATGGGGTCCGTGCAAAACGTGATGACATGCAAGTTCCTTGTCAGTGTTGGATCATGTTTTGCTGCATGATCACCTTGCCAATTATAAATTGTTTGTTAAAAGCTGCAGTATTTCAACTTGCTCTGAGGATGACCTTCCCAGCAGTTACAGCCAACACCAGTGCTGTATCGATCTTGCCGCAGTTGATCGATGTTCTGGGTCGAAAGTTGGACAAGATCCCAGCAGAGCTGGACAGCCCTGCTTTTTTTGGGGGGGGGGATATCTAGCCAACAGTGCATGTTAAATGTGTTAACTAGTCAAAAGGTCAACGTGCACATCTGGAATTGCAGGACCGTATCACATCCATCCAGACCACTCAAGCCAAAGGGTTTCTTGGAAGCGATCATGAAGCCTGTCCATGACCAGCATTTCCCACTCCACTTTGCATGTTATTGCCCGTCCGATTTGCAATTCTAGGCTGGTTGGGCAAATTCAGACATTGCTCAAGGAAATGGATGGTGCCTACAACTCTTTGACCGACAAGCTCTCCGAGGCCACCGTAAGCCCTGAAACCATGGACAAGCCCCTTTGAATTTTATATGCATGCATGTAGCGTGTGTGTTCCATTGTTCAACGTGTGCACCAAACAAATTAAAGCGGTGTGAAAAATCGATATCTAAGGGAGAAGCGAGACCAAATCCAACAGTTGTTCGTCCAATGCACAAAGCTGGATGTGGCCATGAATGGTATGCTCACTCGCTCCAGGTATCTAGTTAGCATTGGCAATGTGAAGCCGCAACCACCCCCCCCTGATATGCCTGCTTTGCATCATGGCTTTGCTGAGGAGCATCAAGTCGCCGGCAACGACGAAGACACCTCCCAGTACTGAGAGGGCAAAGGCCAAGGCCAAAAGTGCACCCAAGCCGAAGCATCGAGTGCAAAGTCCCGGAAGTCAAAGTCCGAGTCTAAGGGGAAGGCAAAGCCTGACTCTACTGAGTAAGCTCTTCTGTTAGATTGCCCTGGGCCATTGAGAATGGCGCAATGATTGGCAGTACTATATATTTCAACGATGCGAAAGGTAGCGATCTATTTTCGCTGCTTGGGGATGCATCGGCTGTTCAATTCTATTCCTAGGTATTTGCTCTCGGGATCCCACTGTATGAGCTTATACGTTGAAGTCTGCTGGGATGTTAAAAAGTCTGGTGCAAGTTGATGTCATCTTCCCAGTCTCTCCAAAGTTTGAGGGTGTTCAAAACAATGGTGCTCAGTTTCACTCAACTTGCCTGTGCGTAGCCATGTGCCAGGTCATAGATCTCTATCCTTTGCTTCTCCCAAGTCCAAGGGCGGCATCAGTGCCACCCTCAAGTTGCACGCACTTGTGACCCCACAGTCCAAGACCCATGGTGTTGTTTCCTACCTGCGAACACCCTCAGGTTCTGGATCCGACCAAAGCTCCCACGAAGTGGACAAAGACCTGTTCAGGAGCTTTGCCAAAGGGGTGCCTCATCACCTGTTTCCGGCTGTGCATGCACGACCATTCGTACGATTGTACCGTGGTTGGGGGTATAGTTGGATCAATTTATTGTGGGCCAGGCATCTGCTATCGATGTTTGTGGACGAGCTCGCAAAACCGGAAAGCTGTTGGCCCGGCACGGAATCTCTCATCGATCATCGATCTGTATTTTTATGGAATTCATGGAATGCATTCTAGAGTGCTGATTTGCAGATCGTAAAAAGCTAAGGAATATACGATCAAGAGATTGCTAGTACAGCAGCCCTTGGGTGCTCCAAGACGTATCAGAAGAATGCAAGTCGCAACTTGTACCGGCTCATTTCCCGCAAAGGCCACACCATCCCGATCGACATCAAAGCAGTGGTGGTGCCTGTCAAAATTGCCAGCCGGAAGGTGCTTCAGAAGCCTTGGCCGGTTTTGCAGCTTTCGGATTGGGTCAAGGCATGCTTTGAGCACTATGGTGGTGTGTTCCTACTCGGGGGGCACACGCTGACCAATGACAACTTGAAGGATATACACAACATGCTAGAAAGGTTTTGGCAGCGGTACCAACACGTACAAGATGTGGATGTTGCTGAGCCAAGTAGAACAATACCATGGATGCTGCATGGTGACGAAGGCCGGGGCCAATGCAAGAGTCCAGTATTGATCTGCAGTTTTCAACCGGTAATAGGCTGGATGGGTGAGGAACACATCAACTCGAAGAAGAACCTTGGTCAGTCACAGCTAGCCTTACCATTTTGACCTATGTGCTGTTTATAGTATGCGGGCCCCATACCAATCACATGCCTGTTCACTTTTGCACAGCTTCTTAGGCACACCTTTACTACGAGACTGCTCTACACAATCCTACCATCGGAACGTTACACCCCCAAGGGGGCTACTCTCGACGGCCTACTGGAAAGCCTTGTCCAAGATATCACTGCCCTACATGCAAATGGAATAGAAGCCCCTTATCAGCACATGCTTTTGTTTACGATGTATCAACTCCCCTGCCACACATATGCCATGCTTTGTGCCAGCCGCCAGGTCAAGTACAATGGCATGAGAGGTTTTGGTTCCAGTTTTTGGGAACCAAGGGGGACTGGCCGTGGCTCCGATCCGCGTATAAGCTATCCACAGGATTTACCTCGAAGAGGAAGTGCCATAGGTGTGCAATTCCTGTGCCTTTGCTGTAGCCTTGCAAATGGATCCATGAGAGCAACTCACCCCAAAACTCATGCAATGCCATGCACGCCCAGGAATGGTGGGACCTATCCAATAGATCAGCGGTCAGGACATTTGCAGAACTCCCAGCCCCTTCAAAGTGGGAATTGTGAGCCCTCTACGCAAGATCCCTCAAGGGGATACCGTCAAAAAGATTTTGATAGATGTGGCACACACTCATGCCATACAAGGCTACGGCAAGGATGACTGTGCCTCCGCAATATGTTTTTTGGCAATCCATTGCCAGTACTGGGGCGCCGCCGTGATTGCAACTCAACTTGACCGTGCATTTGATAGTTTCAAGGCCTACTGCGTCCGTAATGGTAAAACAACCTCACTGACGGACTTCTCCTACCAAACCATGAAGGTGAAGTCGTCCCTCGATTTTATGAGAACATGTTGGAATCTAGAACAGCTGTTGAATCACTTGCTTTAGCCAAGTAGCTTATAATATGCACGGTCTTTCCAACGCTTATCAGGTTGAAGATGTTCCCCAAAGGCCTCGGCAAGGGTTTCGATGCCTCTTTGCTGGGAAAGTGGCTTGCGGAGTTGCTGCCCACTATCTCCCCTGACAGTGTCCCAGATACTTGTCCCAGTTGCAGCATCCTATGCATAGGAAATGGTTTCTAAGTTTCTAAAAGTCAACATTGAAAGTCTAGCAGCCTGGAACCCAAACCCGTCACGTGACACCTGAGGAGAATTGCCGAGATATCCTGAAGGTCCTGACCTGGGGGATGTCTTCAGCAAACAAGTTTTTCCACTCGATATATAACGGAAAGCTGTGGCTGAGTGCACCCGAAGCCCGTGAAGCAGTTGTGAATGGGTGGTAAATGATGGCCACTGCTTTGCACTAACTAGTTGTTCCACAGGTGGCTGTTTGTTCTTAATTAAGAGAATGCGTGGACAAGCACGTTCCATACATGCGGTACGTGTGTAGTGTCCCAAGGAGAGCTACGGGGGTTGTGCCAGACTAAGTGCAATTAATGGTTGGAATCTGTGGTATTTGCGTCCAAAGGCGCATATGATGTGTCACCTCATGTGCCATGCCTGAACCTTCTGAGGGTGTTGTGTTTTTAAGCATTCATGCTCACACTTGCGCTTGGCAACTGAGTCGTGACATGGAATACCAACTTGGGTGCCAAGCGGCGCATATTCTGAATCCAGCAAGTCTATGCCCCAGCTCACATGCATAGAGAGTGATAGAAATCAATAAGCTAGATTTTTTTTGTTTTGTTGAGGCCTGGCCACGTGGTCAGACGAAGATTACATAGGGCGCGTGGCTCGGGTTGAGAGGCGGGTTCACTCTAGTCATTTGGCCCATTCAACAATAAACCGGTGCCTTGTGGCTTACCATGTTGAATGGAAAAGGGCGCTTGAACAACTGGCGCCTGTGCGGTCAAGCAGCTGATCCAGACAGATCGAAGATGATCTCGTGCGAAGGTGGAGAAGAGAAAGTAGTGTTTGTCGGTGTGTGTGCAAGTGGGTTTGTGCATACATGTGCTATAGATGCATGGCTCATGTTGACCAAATATACCAAATCTAAGGAACCAAAGGGTTTTTAACGTATATGTTTTTTGAATGCATATTCAAACGAGCAAATCTAGCAAAAACGATCACCAAAAAAAACGAGCACAAATATGTGCTACAATGGAAGATCTAGGTATAATATCTTTCGAAAGGTATCGTCCGTTGGGCGCCGAGTTGCATCTACCTTCGACTCGGAAAGGTTGATGAAGGTGTTCTTGACCTGGCAGGCTGTGTGACATACTTATTCCGAACATAAATTAAGTTAACATACCTATAGACCCGAAACACTACTTATTTGTCATGTCTGGAGCGAAACATCGCTTCTCCAGTGGCATTGGCAGTAAAAATTGTTTATCCTGGAAAAACTCGTTTTTCCCCGAAACACCTCCAAATGGGAGCTGATTCGTGAAGAAGAATGGCTTGCCATGGCTTATGTTGTTCTTGATCTCAGACTTGTTTGGCTCATGGACTATTTTATACCACCAGCATGGGCCGGTGTCACCCCCAAACCCTCCTGAACTTGAGTCTTCTTGTTGAACATGTCCTTTTGAGCAGTGCCCGCGCATGGACCACTTGTAAAGAATGAGGGGGTAGGGTAGCAAATCCGTGTTGAGGCAGTTGGTTGGTGCCCATTCGAACACAAAGCCCAGATTGTAGATTGTGCCCTTCAGCGTGTGATTTGGGTATCAATGTCTTGAAAGTAACACTCTCAAAAAAAATAGGTCTCCAAACATCTTGTGTTTTCCGCAGGTTGTCGAACGGACTTTAATGACAAGAAACCCCCCCAACCATCCAAATTTCAGGTTCCCGTGGAGAACCCGTCTATAAGCGTGGGGAACCCGTCTATACCCGTGGGTCATACTGGAGAAACCATGTTTAAAAAAAAAATACGTTTTTCCTAACCCGTGGGGAACCCGTAAAAAACCCGTAGTAACCCGTAGGGAACCCGTAAAAAATTATGGGTTCCGGAGTATGCCATTTGAAGGTGTCCATGAGGAGAATTGATCACTCCCATGTGATGCCGGCAACGTGCCAATTCGGATTGATCTTGAAGCACTTCAGTTTCTGGGGGTGAAAGGAAAAAGAAACATGCTTTTTGTAGACTGCTTTCAGACCACAAACACACAGTTGTTCTTTCTTTCGGCACATGTGTTCATCTGAAACCTGGCATCGCTCCTTCAGAAATCAGAAAGGATCGCAGGACTCTGAAGTAGCTTTGCTTGGTGCCATGTCTAAGATGTCTATAATGACAAGTTCCCATGTTTGGAGGAAGGTGGGCACATCAAGATATGAATAGCAAAGTTGAGAGGAATAAAAAGGGGATGATGTGTGCGTTTGCCTGGCCATGTACTTCAGACAGCATGCCCTCAAAATGCACAAAATCAAGAAAACCGTTTTTCCTCAAGAAACATCGTTTATTTTTTAGAACTGTCTTTTTTTAAGGTTCTGGGGTCTTATGGTAAGTTGACCATTCACATCTGTTCTTGCTTAGTGGGGAAACCAGTTCGGCTAAAGACTATATCCACTGACTGGGTAGGTCTTAAGCATGTTCGGAAGTTCCCGCTGACCCGGGCCACGTCTTCCGGCGCCGCACCTCCATCTTCCATTCTTGGTCCTTTTGTGAAGCGACATGAAACGACTGGGGAGCATGCTTCATACTTCACCATGTGAGCGGAGAACAGGGCGCCGTTCCCAACATCCACGGCGACCAGGATCGGATGCAAAAACGCCCAACTTCTAGATCTCCAAGAGAGGTTGAGAGACCTGAACTAAGACCCTGGAGTGGTACATATGGTGTGGGCGCCCTAAGGCTGTTCAACCTCTCTTGGCTTCTATGGAACTGCCTGTGTCCCTGCCTGAAATCGTCCGGTGACGTAGATGGCACAGAAAAAAAGGACCATGAAATCCGAAGACCTGTGTTTCACAGGTGGCGCCATCCACGTAACCGTGATGTTTTTAAAAAAGTGTACTCTCCGACGCACTGTGAGGTTTTGCTTGTTGTGTTTTTTTTGCCGTGACTAATATGATCTAATATGTTCATTTTAGACGATGTTAGACTCACTTGATGAACAGCCAGAGCCCGTGATCCGTATTTCTTGAAACTTGTGAGATGCAAAACCCAGACCCATGAGTTTCGCCATTGATTGCAACACCTACCAGCTGCAGAATAGGGTGGTTTCAGAGTTTCAGGGTTATACAAGCTCAATATTGGGATTGATTATGATTGATTTCAGGGGTCAATGTATACAGTTGAGATTGCCTAACCTAGGTAGGCTCTGTAGCTCTGTTGGGAATTATTTGTTCACTTCCCATGGCTCAAGAAATAGGATCCAAAATGCACCTTGGGGGCCAGTCCCCACGTGGGAACGCAGCCCTGGAACACTTTGCAAAAATAGAAAGCTTGCAAGTATCACAACTTCCTAATTGTTCGCCTTGTGGGCACGCCACTAAGCACAATCAAAGGCCAAGGCTTTTCAAGTGTTCTCTATAGACATCAGGTGGGGCAGCAGCCCCAACGCTCGTTTTTGGTATTGAATCTTGAAGCGTACTTTGACTGCAGCGAGCAATGATGTTTTTGCATAGGATTTTGGGTCACATTTGTTTGTCTGGCTGCTTCGGACAGCCTATGTCCCCAGCGCTGTCCTGCAAACCAAAACTAGACGTAAACACTCCGACCAACCCAGACTGCCAGCTTGCTAGCTGGACGACAAGGACCGAAGGACAGGACAAAAGCAAACATCGTTCTCAGCTCGCTTCCGGGCTCGTCCCCAACTCTGCCCCGGAAAAATACGTTTCCGGCGACCTTGGACATATGGCTGGCGTGAAAAATGCGTTTGCACGCGTACGCAAATTTACCACTCTTCCATGGCGCAAAAAAAATACGATTTGATTGACAAATCGCATTTAAAATGCGTTTGTCGCCTCAAATCGCATTTAAAATGCGTTTTGAAAATGCGTTGCGATAAGGTCTTGCTGCGGAGGTTGCAAAAATGCGATTGAAAAATGCACTTGTCTGCGCGCGGCGCATTCTTTTTACGAAAAAATGCGTTTGTCCGGGCGCGGCGCATTTTTTGTGCGAAAAAGTGCGATTGGGATTGTCAATCGCATTTTTATTCCAAAAAAATGCGTTTGGGCTGCCCAATCGCAAAAAAAATGCGTTTGGGCTGCGCAATCGCAAAAAAAATGCGTTTGGGCTGTACAATCGCAAAAAAAATGCGTTTGGACTGCACAATCGCCAAAAGAAATGCGTTTGAGCTGCACACTTGTAAAGAGCCCAGGCGCCTTTTGTCGGCGGTGCATTTCAGTCGTAATTTTTGCAGCAAGCAATCGCATTTTAATTGCATTGCATTTTTGGATCACATTTTTTGACATTAGCAATCGCATTTTTTTCAACATTGCATTTTCAATCGCATTTTTAACATCTAGCAATCGCATTTTTCAGAACATCGCATTTTCGATCGCATTTTCTCACTCTAGCAATCACATTTTTTCAATCAACGCATTTTCAATCGCATTTTTTGGCAGCCACTTGGTGTAAAAATAATTGTTTCCATGGCCTTCAGGCTCTACCTACTTAGGCGATCTCAAGTATACAGCTATAGTCCCAAACAGCTCTGGCCCATCGGTCTCAGGTCCCTTGGCTGGTCTCACCCTTCCCGCTCCGCAACTGGGAACCTTTGCGCTGGGTATGCCAACATGTTCGTCGACTGGACTTGGCTTTGTTTCCGCCCCCCGGACGTCACCCCACCGGTCCAGCAATGCTCCCAGCTCCGCCGAGCGGATCATGAAGCTGCCTTGGACCGTCCGTCTTCAAAGAAGAGAAACAAACGAAACCGAACCTGGTGGATGGTTTCAACATGAAACTCCACTCAATGAAAGTTGTCTATCGGTTTTTCAGAGTGGGTGTTGCATCATCTCAAAAGTAAAGATTGAACATCAACACATATATACAAACATAATATACAGTATCTCAAAACACCCCTGTTTCAACGGTGGCACACGTCAGCCATGCCACCCACGGGTCTGTCGCTCCGAGTGGCGAGAGTTGCTCACTTGGCGGCTCAAACAAGTGGAAGGGGGACCCTCCCAGGTTGACTGGCGGC